GTATGTAGAGCCTCATGAACTTGATAGGTATGTTTTTCAAATTCAATATAACATCTTCTCATATGTATTCATACATTCACACATATATGCTCTCAACTTGGTCCATTAGACTTTCTCAACAAACAATTACTCCTACATCCTTCTTTTATTTGAAAAAAAAAATTAAGTCTACTAAGTTGAAGCGATCCAAGGAGTAGATAATAAGGCTCCGTTTAACATGATTTTGTTCTTTAATTTTTGGTTTTTTTTATATATAATTAGTAAATATTACAATATTTAAAAATCAACATTTATTAAATTTAACCTAAATATAGTATTAGTTACTATATATGTATATAAAATAAAAAAAAAATATACTTTATTTTAAAATTATAAAAATAAAGGTCGAACCCATAAACATATATAAAAGGTGATTTATAAAGCAAATTATTTATAAGGTAGATTATACTTTAACTATCTTTTAAATTTATTAAAATACACTTAATAAGATTATTTTTATATTATTTTATTAAAAATATTTTAATAAATTTATAAAATAAACTGTACTTTTAATATATATAGTCTGAATTATAATACATAAATCCAAAACATATGAACACCATTATCTAGTAATTTTTTTTTTTTTGGAAGATAGGCAATGAAATTATTCTACCAATTTATTTTCTGAAAACAGTAAGAAAAGGCAGGGCCTGCCATTTTGTAGCAGGCCGCCCTGCCAGGCCCACGTAAAATGGCGCGGTTAAGGCGGCAAAAAATCCAAATTCCGCCATCGGGCAAAAACGGTGCGTTCCGTGGGACCTAATGCCAAGCTCCCGAGCGCCGGTGATTCTCCCTTTTCAAATCCATTCCAGGCGTTGCAGAGCAAAGCTCGATAGCTCGGTTCTCTCTCCGATGGAGCAAAGACTGAAAGACTCGATCGGAATCGAACAATTTCTCCAAGACAACAAACCACTCTCTCCCCAAGCGATGGCTTCCATTAGATCCCTCATCGTCAACCCTCACACCTCCGATCCCATGCTCTCCTCAGTCCTCGAAACCCTAACTCGTTCTCTTCAAATCGGCGGCGACTCGCTCTATCTCCACCACACTCTCAAGCTCCTCACCGACCTTGCTTCTCACCACCCTAACCTCTCTGCTCCAATTCTCGATTTGCTTCGTTCCAACTCTCTCCTCTCCTCCGAGTCTCCTGGCCTCGCCACTGAGTTTGTTTCCGCAATGGCTTCAATTAGTTCGTCGGTAATCGAGGTTGAGGAGGCGAGTTTCGTTTCACTCTGCTTTGGTCCTTCGGTGTCTGCACGAATGTGGTTACTAAGGAATGCGGAGATGTTTGGAGTGAGGAGATCTGTTTTGCTGGCTGTGTTGTTAGGGTTTACCAGGGATCCGTATCCGTATGTGAGGAAAGCAGCTCTTGATGGACTGGTTAATCTGTGTGAGAACGGTGATTTTGAGGATCGTGATGTGGTCGAAGGATGCTGTTGCTGTGCCGTGGAGTTGCTGCAAGACACGGAGGATTGCGTGAGGTCTGCTGCTGTTCGTGCTGTAAGTTTCACTGATCTCTTAGCATCTTGTTTGGGGACTAATTTTCTAGTGATTCGTTCTAAATTTAAAGCATAGCTTAATTAATTATGACATTAAGCTTTTAAATATGCTTCTTTTGGTAAATCATTATAGCTTTGTGTTTTGTATTATCCCCATATCATTTTGCATTTAAGTTTGTTTTTATGACAGTTCAAAGCTTTTGGTAAATGCTTACAGTTTTACTTGTTTTATAAATTCAGGTTAGAGTATGGGGTAAAATGCTGGTAGCATACATTGAAGAGAGTAATAAAATAGACTGCTCAGATGCAATCTTTATCCAGGTATCATGGGAATCTTCTTTTATTTTCTCAGTGTATGGTTCTTTTTTATTACTATTTTATGTAGAATTTTACCTTGATGCTTCAACAGTAAATTTGAAGCGTTGGACATACTCCCTTAGAGTTTGAACTTTGATATGCTGATGTGCCTCATGATTGGTCTATTTTATTGCTAGTTAATTTGGTTGAATGGTATTAAATGCATATCATTTCTCATTCTTCAGCCTGAATAAATAATGGTATCTTGCTAAATACTGTTATTTATTTACTTGCTGATTTTTCTTATTATTATATACACGCAGATCTGCTCTATGGTAAGAGATATGAATGTGGAAGTCAGGCTTCAAGCTTTTGATGCCCTTGGGAAGATAGGACCTGTCTCTGAGGATATTTTGTTACAAACCTTGTCTAAGAAGGTGTTAGGGATAACGAAAGAGAAAAAATCTAGTAGGTATTGCCCTATGGAATGGCTGGAAATTCCAGCATCAAATGCTGCTGGAATTATTGTACATGGGCTTGAGGATGAATTCTATGAGGTAACTTTAGTATCTGGTCCTTTCTTGGTAAAATTAATCCTGCATCCCAGTCCATATTTGCTAAATTAAGTTCCCCTGCAATGAGTCCTTGGGCATATAGGTTCTGATTATGCTTATTCTATGCAGTTCAAAGGCAATTCCTCATAGTGATGGATTATGATTATGACATTCTCTGTGCTTGATCTGAAGGTACGAATGTCTGCCTGTTACTCCTTGCGTACTCTAACTGTCTTCTCTGCCAAATTTGCCGGTGAAGCCTTAAACCTTTTGATGGACATGTTAAATGATGATTCAAGGTCTGTCAGGCTCCAAGCTCTGGAAACAATGCATCAGATGGCAACCTGCGATCATCTAAAAATGGAAGAAACACACATGCATACTGTAAGCTCCTCCTTAGATTATTATTACTACTTTTTTCCCTGAAAGGAAGGTAATTTCCTCCTTAATACTTGCATGCATGGTTGTCTGATAGTTATGGACTTATGGACTTATGGACTTATGGTTGTTTTATTATGCAGTTTGTTGGGACCCTTTTTGACAACAATGCTTTCATAAGATCTGCAGCAAGGAAAATACTTAAAATAGTAAAGCTTCGAAAGTTGAAATTATTTAAACAGTGTATTGATAGCCTTCTTGCAAATCTGGAGACTTATCCTCAGGTCTGTTGCTGTTTTATCATATGCTTTCACTGCTGTTTTAGTAAAATTGTTGTTCTTATATAAGGGATCTTTGTAGATGAATTCCTTCAATTTTCAACCTCCCTCTTCATTAATCAAGAGCTATTTCCACCTTCTTCTTTTTTTTTCCCTTTTCGCTTACTTGTTGATTTTCTTTCTTAGGATGAAGTTGACATCTTCTCTGTTCTGTTCTATACTGGGCGAAATCATGGAAACTTCACAGTTCACATCATTATGGAGGTTTCTAAAGAGGTTAGCAACCTAAAATGTGCTATTTATGTATTTGTTAAAATTGAATTCCTGTTTTCCCTTTTCCTTCTTGTGGATCCTGCAGTGGCACTTGTAATTCTTAATTTCTCTTTAAAATTGAAACAAGTTGCTGAAATCACCTGCCCAATCATAGGAGTAATGGTATCATTGTCATTTGTACTTCTGAGACCTCAGTCTTACCTGTTGAACTGAAATGTTTTGATATGATGAACAACCACAGCTTTCAGAGTGACAATTTGTTGTTTTCTTGCACAGAGAATTTGATTTGATGATGTATATGGCAATAATGTATTCAATATGGCATAAAACTTAAGAAAAGCATACAAGCCACATGGAAATTATCAATTTTTATGCTTTTGCATTAGGACCTTCTGTCCTTTATACTTGTCCCTTTTTTTTTGGCCATTGTGCTTCTCCTTGAGGGTATTGTTTTGTTTTTACTTTTAGGTTCATTTGTTTTCATATCATTAATGTTGATCATTATTTTTCTTTACTTGTCCATTTGCTTCAGATAGAGCCGGTTTTTAGGGGCAAACTGAGCCTAGACAGTCCAAGAGTAGCTGCATTTCTAGTATTGGCCATCTCAGCTCCACTTTCTCAAGAAAAGATGGCCAACCGCATTCCACCTAGCATATTCTCATATGCAGCTACATTGCTTGGGAGGATCTCTCATGCTTTAAGTGATGTTATGAGCAAGGATACCCTTTTGGTTTACTTATCTAAGTGCAGCCAATCATCGGATTTTTCTCTTACAGACTTTGAAAGGGAAGGGCTATCATTGCCTGCATTGGGAAGTGATGCCCCACCACGTACCTGTTTAGAGACTAGTAGCTCTGTTAAGATGCCCTTATTGGATATAGGCAACAAGGCCTCTGAAGTTCTATCTCAGAAATTGCCGGCACTAAGGGAGTGGTCAACTTCACATGTGGTGTGCCAACAGAGGGAGCTTGATGAATTAAGAAAGTTTGTGAACATAATCTTTGGGAAGGTCAATGACCTTTGGTTGTTGGTACAATCTGGATTCACAACTGAAGCTTTGAAGACTTTAAGGTACCAATTTAGTTAATTAATTTTGTTTGCTTGAACTGTTTCCTTGCTATATATTGGGCAGGACTTCATCTATAGTCCATTTTTTGAGAGCGAACCCCTTCAAGCTTTTGGGATCCTTGTTTTGAAATTGAATGCAGTTATTATTATTATTATTATTTTTTTGACAAAGAATGGCATTTATGGCCCTTGATAGATAATGATTGACAAAAGCAAATCTACAAAGATCTGTGTGTTTTTTGCCTTGCCCCTTGTAAACACACTTTAGCAGTTAGTGATATCATGCAAACCTAGGCCCTGCCAGCATTTAGGTACAATACATCGTACTGCTTTTACATGATGTTAATTTCACGCAAATGGCCAAAAGGTATATGTTGTTGAGCCATTTATTTGTTGTTCGTGGTCCATGCCACGTGCATATAATCTGTATATCATCTTCCTTATTAGATATTTTGATTTTTGGCTTGTGCAGGACTTGTAGGGAAGAAGTGGGAACATTCCCCAAAGAGTCCCCTGGATCTGCTGGCATGTTAGCATTTACTGAGCAATATATCCGGGTTGTGAAACTGCTCACTGAAGTGTGGCAGCATCTTGTGCCTACAAGAAAGATCAGATCTTATGGAATGGGAAACCTGGAGATTATACTGGAAAAATTAGATCGGAGGCTTAGAGATATGAGGAGTAGGTTTATAGGGCTGTCCATTGAAGAGGAGTTGCAAATCTTGGACTTGACAGTTGTGGCTTGTTTATTGAGGTTCTCTAAAGTGGAGTTTTGCTGCTATCATAATACCTTGAAGAGGCTATCTTCTACAATTTCCCGTGTTGAATTTCTCTATAAGAAAGGATCTCTTGACCCTTCCAATTTTTTAACTGAAGTGAAGAAATCATTGCATGAAATTGGCACTTACATCGGTGGTGGTCCATGTAAGTCATTTGTCATCAGGAGGTTGCTCAATTCCTTCTCCCTAAAGCAGTTTTCTTTGTGTGGAAGTCCCAGGTACGCAAATGCAGAACTGGAAGTTCCTGGTAATGATTCTGAAAATCCTCTTCCATTCGTTTCGGGATTACCAGCCTGCATCCCACTAGAGATCACTTTTCACAACATTTTAAATGAGAATAGGTTGTGGCTGAGGATCACTTTGAGTGAGGAGTCAACTCAGTTTGTGTTTTTAGATTTAAACCTAACTGGAGGAGGGAATGATGTTAGGAAGTTTACCTTTATGGCCTCCTGCTATCTAACCCCAAATGTAGCATCTTTCACATTGAGGGTTTGCATAGGTATGGAATGTTTGTTCGAGGATATTCATCTAGCCAAAGGTTCTAGGGGTCCAAAACGTGAGCTAACATATATTAGTCCTGAAAAAGAGATTTATCTCTCCATGAGGCTAAAGACTGAGTAAATCCATTCAATGTTGCTTCATTACTGCAACTGGAGAAGGTACAGCATCAACTTATTGTAATGAAGATTATGATTATTTCAGTCAAAGAGGTTATCACTTCCCAATATAGCTGCTATCTTTGTATGGTAATCAAAGTGGGTGTGTTGGACTGTACAACAGTACAAGTTTTGCCATGTTGATCATCTTTAAAGGTAATGCTTTGTTATCTTCCTATTTGGAAAAGTGATCTCCTTGACATGCTCTCAAGGTTGGCTGAATCTCACGAGGTAAGTTGAAATTGAAGAATCTTGCTTGCACTTGACATTGTCTGGAAAACCCTCTCCAGCATCAAGTTTTCATTTACTTATTTGCTGGTTATGCTATAGAGCTAGAACAGCAAAAAACCCACAATACCTAGGAGAGCTTCAGGGTCAGCTGCTGAAGTTTAAGCTTCCAAACGGAACATTTGAGCTTCAAACCTTTTGGTTCATGGTTTCTACATTTAATTCAATCCTATTTTCTGCTGGGAGAAATAGATCATTTGTCTTTGTTTCTCACCAGTGCATTTGTATTCTGTAGCATGCGAAGAATGTATAATATGTCTCAGTGGTAGCTTGAGAGCTGGAGCCTCCATTGTTGGAGATTTTGAATTCAAATCTTAGAATGAATGAGGAGGATTTGGGAAGGAGAAGCTATCTCTTGTTCTATAGTTCACTATGAGATATACCCAAAAAAAAAAAAAAAAAAAAAAAGGAAAAATCGAGGATGTATAATGACTGTTAGACTGGGAAAATGCCAGCTGATTGGAGGCAAATGCTCACTTAATCTTACGTTCTCTCTGAGCTGTGTAACTTTTGCTACAGATTTGGCTTAGCGAGGCCTAAAACCATGTTTCAAACCAGCAGTAATTTGGTGAACTCTAGTAGAAAGCTTTTTTCTTGCAACTCACGTTGTTGGCCGACTGGTAAACCAGTGCCGAGTGAGATGCACTTAACTAGGGTTCAAACCCTGTCAATAGCATTCCTTACCACCTACCCTTGAGGATGATTTAGAAGAATTCCACATAAAAAAAAAGAAAAAAAGAAAAGAAAAAAAAGACTTTTCTCCTTTCCTCCAAAATTGTCTATAAACAGTTTACTGTACTGTTCGAGGCTTGATTTAAGAGAACTATGTTGGAGTTGTAATTGTCAATTTTTTAATTTTTTAATATTTTAAAAATATATACAGTTATATATTTAATATTTATTTTAATTAACATTTTAAATATGATTTAAGAGAACTATGTTGGAGTTGTAATTGTCAATTTTTTAATTTTTTAATATTTTAAAAATATATACAGTTATATATTTAATATTTATTTTAATTAACATTTTAAATATTTTTTAAAATAATAAAAGGATATAAATCAAAAGTTAAAAGTACTGAAAAAATTCCTAAACAAAGCCTGGACAAGAAAAACCTAGCAGTGCATCAAAAGAGCTGTAATGCTACTAATGCTGATCACTACTTAATGAGATGTAGAGACATTTAGTATTCTTGCAAGAGAAGAAAACAAGAAGGATGTACAAGTAGAAACCCGAAGTAGTCGTAACGGGGAAACAAAATTGGTTGCGCATTAATTGTATCGGCAACTCTAGACCATGTTTTCATCCTATCTCATGAGAAAATTATAGACAGAAAGGCTTCTTTTTTCCTTTCTCTTTTTTCTCTCTTTTTTTGGAATTTGACAAAAAGGCTTTAACTTCTTGAGTTAGACTGTCTGTTACGATTAAGATAAGAGCAGACATGAAGCACCTTTTCAAAATTGCCTTAGAAGAATTTTCCTTCTAGCCGTGGCCTTCCTTGTAACACTCGATCTGTTATAATTTCAGCAAGAGAATATCAGCTAGTAGTTAATGTGCTTATGATATTCAGTGTGTGCAGAAGTATAGAATAAGGGAGTGTACCGTGTGTACAATGTCTTGGCTCTCTCTCACGCCCCCAATAACACACATATGGAACCTTGAACAACAGCAGCAGCAGAATACCCCCTCGGGTGGTTCATTGGGTGCCCATTCATCCACGATCCAAGTCGTGGATCATATATATATATATATGAACGCTCGGAACCATATGATTACCGTCAAATTAAACCGCCAAGAGCATATCTACAAAAGGAATTGTTTATTTATGAGATGCATAAACATTTGGACAACAAAGAGAGCACATCATTACCGTCAAGTCAATACGCATTGTATTGTGTTTTGTTTTGGATACGTGTGCGTTTGTCATTAAACTGCCACCAAAACTGAATGCAAGCAACAACAACAACTTACGATTTTTCATTCAAAACAATCAGTGAATGGCAGCCCCTCTTCGTGCCCATGCTAGCAATTTTGCTCCATGAATGCTCCCTAGGATCAAATCTTTCAGCAGATCTGAATATAAGAAATTTTCGGTCAACTGTTGATATAATGTTTTCATTTTTGGTTCTGGGATATTAAACTCATCAAGCATGACACTTGTGCACCCTTTCATAAGTATAATTTTGTGTTTGTGTTGTACGTGTGTGAGCATGTCTAGAGAAGGATGTTAAAAAGGAAAACGAGTAAAATGGAATTGTATCTTACGTCAAATAATTATTCCCATCATATCCACCAGTAGCCTAAATTGCACCATTACATTCCACAGCAGCAAGAGCAAAACGCTGGAACATCAAACCCAGAAGATATAAATTATTAATCAATTAAACATGTTATACAAGGATGGTATGGCATGGCTATACATGCATGCATATATAGAAATGCACATAATTATGATGGCATATGAAATCTCAATAGAGGCACATTATATCTCAAAAATCAACAAAAACAGAAAGATCCTCCCCCCTTAATTTTTATAGATCAACCAAACTACAAATGGTATTTAACCATGTTTATACCAAATTTTCCTGTGGCTGGACATAGAAATCAGTTACTTGTCTGATACTGAAATTTTAGCAGCAATTAGCGTTATATAATTTTTAGTTATCATTGAGCCTTCCAAGAAAACTATTAAATCAATACTTAAATACGCAATACATCTCTCAGTGAGTGAAAATGATAATATACTTTCCTTGAGCCACTAACTGAATCATCATAACCAGTAGACTAACAGAAATTCATCAAATAGTACATTTACCTTTTGTAGCATTGACTCTGTGCAGATCCATTGTCCAACATTTAAATCAAGCATCTCAACATTTGAAAAGCATTAAAACCCATTTCCACCACCAATGGCAAATATCTTCTCACCTAAAGTGGCTCCAGCTAAGCTTCCCTTTTTCTCAGTCAGTGGAGGGCAGATGGTCCACTGATCATTGGATGAGCTATATGATTCAACCTTAGAAAAAGAAAGGGTTTAACAGAAACATGAGCAACAAGCTTCTTATTTAATTTCTTGACAATGGAAATATTAATGAGACCAATATGATGCTTTGCTGAGAATGACAAATTACAAATTGAGTGAAAGATGATACATGTTTCTTACCAGATATAACCATTACCACCACCAAAAACAAAGAGTTCACCATTCAACTGCGCAACTGAAGCATATGAACGGACATAATTCCTTGTCATGAATGATTTTATCACATCTTGCAATGAAAAATAAGCATCCAGTGTTGATAAACATGATTCACCATCATATCCTCCCACTAAAAACATTGATGTGGTCGGATCCAAATCCAGCTCGATTCTATTTCTGTTTCATTAACATCCTCCAAAGAATGATTGCACATGGATTCCAAAATCATACAACGATCTTTTAACCGCTTAATTTCCAATTCTGCATTAACCTAAAATGCCAGAGTAAAATCCACCATCCAATGCATTATTAAGTCAAATTATACATGCAAGCATGCAACATTTACTGTTGACAACTCAGAGGTGCAGAGTAGCATAACCTAGAAGGATGAGAGACATTCAAATAAGATGGCAGATGGCATGAGAACATAATATCAAAAGCAACGGGTCATCAGAATTTTGAGAAAGCAATCACAAAGATTGACAATCATTAGCTAATAATAATAGTCATGCATCTCCTTGGTCAAAACAACCAAAAAGAGAAAACATGCTTCTTCTGTAAATGTATTTGCCTCCTAAGATAATGAACCAAGTTCAATACCCTTCCTCTAACAAAATTCTAAAAACACTTTCACTTCTATTTCATACGTTGCATATACAATCAGCCTTAAATCTACAAATGTTCCCCAACTTATTTCTAGTTTGCTATCACTTTAAGCTCCGCAAGTAATCCTTTTTGTCCAGTTCAATTACATGGAAGGAAGAAAGACACATTTGAATACAGAGTGCACCTAAATCTGTTCCTTCACTCCGGTTGAGGCATTACAGAAATTCTTATTGGTAATTAGAATATAAGAAGGACCTGAGGCCAACTCACAACAATATCAATGACAGTGAGGATGATGATGGCATGTGAACGATGATGATAATAATGGCGATAAAAGAGAAAAGGATGAGTGTTTTATGGCTTGCAAAAGCAATTTTACCAGTTTTTGCCCCATATAATTCATCTTCGCAGATTGTTCTTTTTTAAACATCTTGTGTTCTTTTTCAAAAATCCTGAGCTCTTTCATCCCTTGAATAAACTACAATTAATAAATAAATGATGAGAAGTAGTTGAAAAGAACAAATCTAACAGAGAACATCACGCTTCTAAGTCAAAGGTGTTTGAATAATAGAAATAACTAATTACCTGAGCTATAATAGAGTTGCAATTAATGCAAGTACTCACATCGTTCGTCTGTTCAGAAATCTGTTTGCTCCTTTAACAAATCCTCATCTTTGAAATTTTTATCATTCATAAGAGTAGATTCTTCAACATTATTGTCAAAGACAAGTCTTGACATTCACCTTGGCCAGCCAATTCTTTCAGTTTCATCAGTATAAGGTCTTTCTCGTCTTGTATCTTTCTCTTTGCATCTGCATGAGTTTCCAGCGGATCAAGAGAAGCAAAATCTGTAGAATCTGACGTTCCATTTGACTGATTGCAATGTTCAACATCTGAATCTGGTGGAATGAATACTTCAACTCCCTCTTTCAGTCCCTCAAAATTAAAACCATTATTTCTAGAATCCAATTTCTCACTTGAGTAATTAGAATGTTCTAACTCCAAAGAAAGTAGCTTAAACCCTTCAGCTTCCTCTATTTTTCCAGCTGAGGGTGGAGATTGGAAAATATTCCTCCATGTTCCTGCATTTTGAGGTAGAGAAATACTGTTGCAACTGCTGAGGATGCTAACAATCAGATCAACTTGTTTGTCCGAATATGGTCAAGCTAAAACAAGAAATGGTTATGACTGTAGTAATTGTGAGCAATTATTGGTCTAAATTGCTTTTCAAGAAGTGGTTCGCACTGTAGTTGGACACGAACCTGAACCTGAACTCAGGAAAAAGGAAAATATCAACTCTGAAGCCATCTCTTGATCATAGCCAAGCTAGAATTATAACTTGCCAAAAAAAAAAGAAAGAAGAAGAAGAAGAAGAAGAAGAAGCTCATAAGCACACCTGTGCAGGATATTGTGTTCTTTCTGAACCATCAATGTTCCATCCATATGGGTCGATATTCATTTGACCACAGCTAGCAGCCTCAAAAATTCCGTGCAGTTTCCTATCAGAGTAGTTGAACAGAAAAAGTGCAATCCGAGCTGGCAAACCTGTTGAATGTAAAGGAAAAGTCCACATGAATCCATGTACATAAAACTAGGATTTTAAGATAACTAGAATCGCTGTGGTGCTCGAAAAGATCTTTTTGTAAAAGTAAAAAAACTTAAACCTCACAAAGATCGCTTGATATTAAATTTTTTTCAAAGAAATGATAAAAGAAAACTGTGATAGAAATGCAGATTTCAAACCTAAGAGTTGTTTGAATAAGCATTCTTACACGGTGCTGTTTGTGCAACCAAATATGACACCGCCAAGTTTACACTTTTTCAGATTTCTGTAACCTGAGAACTTCCGCATTTTTTACCCTCCCCTCATTCTGGATTCTATTAGGGAGAGCAGGCTTCATTAATTACCTAAAATTATTAACAATATGAATGCGCAAGGCAAAGTATTACAACCCAAGTTTTTCCAGTGCCAAAAAGGAACAAACAAGCTCCTACAACTTAATATGTTTACACTCTACGCTCAATAATATCAAATTCAGAGATAAACTCAGATAGCATGAATTTATGATCAGTTAATTCCAGACATCATTTTCTTTTTTTCTTCGCTTTTTTTTTTTTTTTTTAAATAAGGCATTCTAATATGTTCCTACACAATACATATCGTCAGAAAGAGTATCAAAAACTTGAAAAATGCAAAAACATCACCAACAAAACACAATCTAAATCCTCATGCACTAAAAAAGAAGAAATAACTCTAAAAATAGTAATTAACTCAACAAAAACCAAGAGGCATTCTAATATGAAAAAAAGGCACTCTAATTTGTTCCTACAATACATATTGTCAGAAAGTGTATCAAAAAGCTGAAAAATGCGCAAACACCATCAACAAAACACAATCTAAATCCCCATGCACTAAAAAAAAAAAGAAATAACTCTAAAAATAGCAATCAACGCAACAAAAACCTAGAGGCATTCTAATATGTTCCTACAATACATATTGTCAGAGAGTGTATCAAAAACTTCACAAATGCGAAAACACCATCAGCAAAACAAGAAGGAATTCATCGCCACTCATCGAAACGATCAAATTTTCAGTACAATCAACATGGCATTGTAGATAATGTATAGTACTTAAGCGATAAACGAGAATCACAAAGGAAAATGGAGAGAAAATGCAGATGAAAGGAAGAGAATCGTACACTGAGAATGGAAGATTTTGAGATTGCGGCAGAGAGTGTGTAGCGACGAGACTAGTCTGACAAAGCGCGAAACTTTCATGTAAAATTGTACTGTAAAGAAACAAATAAAATTGTATTGTAAAGGGCTACAATGACATTTTCTATTATTTTCTGACTGTATTATCCTTTGTTACAGCTATGGCATGAAAGCTAAAAATACAATGAAATAAGAATTGCTAAATAACATTGCAACATGACTGCATAGTAGCAGCAAAGTGACAACAGCATGGAGCTGCACATGGCCTACAAGAAATGGCAGCAAACTTCAACAATTTAGTCAACCCTTTCTTCTTACCTCAAAAATCTAACATGGCGTCAAAGCTTTCATTATCTTGAGAGACCTGTGAGAGTTTGTTTTTTGAGGGAACAATAGAAAAAACCCCACCTTTCTCATTGTTTTCAGATGGTTATTCTTGTGAAACCCCTCTTACTTGGCCAAAATCTTGCAGCAAAAAGGGTGTGAAGATGGAGGCGCATGCTAGTCCCACCATGGGAAATGTCAAGGAGAGGCAAACTGTTCAAAGAGAAAATGTTCAGTTATGTCCAAATGGCAGCAGATTTGATGGAGACGACGGCAAAGGAAAACTGAGCACATCTCAGTTGCATTCTTTTTTTTTTTTGAAAAGCCATCTCAGTTGCATTCGGTTACCTTCTTTTATGTTTGTATTTTTGAATGTTGAGAGTTTTTTTTTTTTTTTTTTTTTTCAGTGTGGAGATGGACTGCAAACAGCTAAGAACCAACATGGGATGATTTTCCAACCAAAGCTGAATCATGCATTACCATAATATTCATCACATAACTAGCAAGGGGCCGAGCAAACATGATGTTCCAGGCCATTTTAGTAGGCATTTAGAGTTATAATCTCGCGATTACATAGATAAAACGAC